CGTTGCTTGGAGTGTATCAATCTTTAAATAACTTCACAATTCTTACATTTTACGCATGAAAAATGAGCAGGGTTGTATAGCAGCATGTCGTGTTTTTTCTGGTTTTAAACGTGATTTTCACACTACATTTGCTTTTCTTGTCATTTGCTACATTTTCTTCGGATCGTCGCCAGATGTTAGATAAATCAGTACAACAGTAAATCTTTCCCTATAAGAGAGATATGTGAACTACATGAAATTTGATCTTAAGTAAAGTAATTCCCGTCTTTAAGGAGGGCATAACGTCCAAATACCCATTGGGTGTCGTAGACGCAGGATCAAACCTAACGCTTTACAATGCCCTTTCCGAAATTATTATAAATTAAAATCCCAAGAGCTAGACCGGCTTGGAACTCTGATCTGCGAGCCTGGCCAGTATTTGGCGGACAATGTAACCACCATAATTTGACCTAATATTTTAGTTTTTTAAAGTATGATTAAATTTTTTTATTATATGTTTAAATAGATTTGTATGTTTATATTGCTTTCAAGTTTTGATCGATGATAAATATCTTTTGAAACAAAGGACGGTACACAGGAAATGGTCCACCAATCCTCAGGTAATTTCTATTGTCTTATCTTTGTTTTATTTTATATTTGCGTTTTCGATAATAATACAACATGAGTAAATAATTTCAATGGTGTCAGGAAGGAAAAGAATAAAAAATATATAGTGAGAAAAAGAATAAAAAAAAGAAGCCAACAAACGGCAAGAAGGCAGGAAATACAGTGACAGAAGGGTAGAATGTGTGAGGGCGACTAAGAAACAAATATACAAAACTGAGGACGGTAGGAAAAAAAAGAGGTACAATTATAAAAAAAATAATTAGAAACAAAATCGAGAATTAGACGGGAAGATAAATACTGATAGAAATTCATTGATAAAAGTGTATTAGAATTAAAATAATCAACATAGAAAAGTCAGAGAAAGAGGAAAAGAGAGAAATGGACAGAGAACCTTTATAAAATTTAAATCGAATTGATACATATTTTTGCTACTTGTTCCTATTTTAAATATACTAGTATTATAAGTAAAATTGTTAAGAACGATAGAGTGACTAAGAGCAATTACTAAACGAAGTACAAGACTGAGGATGACAAGAGAAAAAAAGAGGAATGAAAACAGAAAAAAGATTTTGAAAAAAAGATTTTGAAAAAAAAATTGAAAGTTAGCCAGGGAGATTGACATAAACATAAATAGAAATTGATTGATAAAAGTGTATTAGAATTAAAATAATCAACATAGAAAAGTCAGAGAAAGAGGAAAAGAGAGAAATCGACAGAGAACCATTATAAAATTTAAAAAAAATTAAATCGAATTGATACATATTTTTGGCTACTTGTTCCTATTTTAAATATACTAGTATGGAAAGTAAAATGATTGAGAATGAGAGAGTGACTAAGAGCAACTAATAAACAAAGTACATGAGTGAGGATGACAGGAGAAAAAAACGAGGAATGAATATAGAAAAAAGATTTTGAAAAAAAATTGAAAGTTAGCCGGGGAGATTGACAAAAACATAAATAGAAATTGATTGAAAAAAGTGTATTAGAATTAAAATAATCAACAGAGAAAAGTCAGAGAAAGAGGAAAAGAGAGAAATCGACAGAGAACCATTATACAATTTAAAAAAAATTAAATCGAATTGCTACATATTTTTTGCTACTTGTTCCTATTTTAAATATACTAATATTGTAAGTAAAATGATTGAGAATGAGAGAGTGACTAAGAGCAATTACTAAACAAAGTACAAGACTGAGGATTACAAGAGAAAAAAAGAGGAATGAATATAGAAAAAAGATTTTGAAAAAAAATTGAAAGTTAGCCGGGGAGATTGACCTAAACATAAATAGAAATTGATTGATAAAAGTGTATTAGAATTAAAATAATCAACAGAGAAAAGTCAGAGAAAGAGGAAAAGAGAGAAATCGACAGAGAACCACTATAAAATTTAAAAAAATTAAATCGAATTGCTACATATTTTTTGCTACTTGTTCCTAGTTTAAATATACTAATATTGTAATTTAAAAGTTTTGTTGGCTTTTTATATAGGTCAAAAATTTGACAGAAAGAGAGAGTGAGTGAGAGCAGCTACGAAACAAACAAAAGAACAAGACAGAGGATTAAAGGAGAAAAAAGAGGAATGAATACAGAAAAAAAAGAAAAACGAGATTTGGGCGGGAATTTGTAAGTGGATGAAAAAAATAGAGAAAGAGTGAGAAAAAGAGATAAATCGACAGAGAAGCACTTTTAAGATTAAAAAACTTGACTGGTTTTAAAATCGTAGTGCTTCGTAGTGCTTGTGTTTCTATTTTAAATATACTATTATTACACTTTGAAATTTTTTTTGGCTCTTCACACAGTTCAAGAATTTTAGTTATTAAATAATTTTACTGTGGAAACTTATCCAGTAATGATATCTGCTTCTAGGACGCTTCATAAAATTAGCATTTTTGGATATATAGATAGATATATTTGAGTAATATTAATTTATAATAAATATCCGATATTAATTGTTTTATGCGACTGTAATAAAACGTTTTAACACATTGTAATAGTTTTCAAGTAATATTGTAAACTTTTTTTTCTGAAACTCCTGACATTTTCAACACTCCGATGGTCGCATGTCTCAACAACCCGTTTTCCAGTAAGTAAAGCTCGTGCTATGAATTATATAAATCAGTAGAGAAATGGGATAATGGCTAATTGCGGACCCTGCAAACCACGACAGGTTGATACTGGAATGCCTCCGGTTAGCAAAGTGTTTTATAGATTATAGCCGTACCGGACCTTCTCATAAACGGGGTTAGGCACGATCCGTACGGAGAAAAAATTGAGAAACATTAGACCGTGTATGATCTCGCTTTTTCCACAATTACTGAAAAAAAAGAGTAATTCTGGTTGAAAAGTAACACTATTTGGTTTCAAAGGCCCCACACGGTCAATTTCTGTTTGAATTATAGCATTTCCCTTTAAAAAATCCACCCTCTTTCTTTATCTTACCAAACCAAAACGATTATTACTAATAATCACGACTAACGAGGAAAATCTGTAAAGCTTAACTCGTGGTCGATTTGTAAACTTGGGAACTTACTCTTGTAAGCTAAAAAAGTAGGACCAACAGCTAATAAAAAAAATTATAAAATAAATCAACAAAATGTTAACTATATATACTATTTCTTTAAGTAGCAATATCGTCATGTCACTACGTTTACAACATAATTGGTTTGGGAGTATTGGTGTTCGTTTACTGTATTATTAAAGTATTAACTAAGTGTTATTATTAACTAAGTAAAGTATTAACTATAAACTAATAATTAAGTAATTATTAGTAAAGTATTAAGATATAAATCCGTCGTTCATCTGGTGATTGAAATACGACTCAGATCTTTGTAACGTTGACCCCAAACGAACAAGAAAATGTGCAACCATGTTTCACGCGTTTTTAATTAGGGAAAATCCAGCCGGAGTTTACCTGTTGCTAATTCCTATTAGTTGATAGACAAGGCGTCAGGCAGTCTGCCAAGGTTTACGGCCTACCTTTCCCAGGAGCAAGGACCTCATCTTTTAGCCAAATCGTATCGCCCATTTGGAAATCCAGTTTAAGATTGAGATTATTCCTTTTGACAGATGTTTGCCTGGGCCTGGGCCGTTTTTGAACAATTTTAACGACTTTTCTCAATGCGACAACTCAATGTTAAATTAATTAAGGTTTTTAGTTGAGATGAAAAAGTCAATGGCACGGGATTCGAACCAACGATCTTCGGCTTGATACGCCGCTGCTCTACCACTTGAGCTATCGTGAACTCGATCCCCTCGGACACCAACTTCCCTCTCAACCACACTTTTTGAATTTTCCCTCCTTTTTGCCATTTTTTTAATCTCAACTAAAAACCTTAATTAATTGTAATATATTAATTGGTCAAGCGGACCACGAAATTAGTGAATTCAACGTTAAATGTTAATTGTTGGCTTATTATTTTCATTTTTTTAAATCTGATAATGGGTCATTCATGTTACATCGGTGTAAACATGGCCACAGTTATTCAGGAAGGAGAAAAAAGGCAAGTGTAACAGGGATGAGAAATCGAGAGAGTTAAGCAGATAGTGAAAGCGAAAGAGGGAGAGATAAAGATAGAGGTAGAGAGAGAGAGTGAGAGAGAGAGAGAAAGAGAGAGAGTGAGAGAGTGAGAGAGCGATTGAGAGAGAGTGAGAGAGAGGGAGAGAGTGAGTGAGTGAGTGAGTGAAAGAGTGAGTAAGTGAGTGAGTGAGGGAGTGAGTGTGAGTGTGTGTGTGTGTGTGTGTGTGTGTGTGTGGGAGAGAGAGAGAGAGAGAGCGTGTATTTTATATATATATATATATATATATATATATATATATAGGGTGTCCTTTTTAGATGGCCCGGCGGAATTTCTATTTTGGAGGAAAATTGTACAAGGTGTCTCAGGCCCAGTTCAAATTTAGAATTTCAAATACGACCCCTAGGTCAGTTCAAGTATACAAAATGATGTAGAACAAACTTTCATTACATTCAAAACTACCGGCTGGCGGACGTGAAATCAACGAATTAAATTTTTAAATTTTACAAAACAATACAAAACTAGTATTTGGTGGTGATGGTAGGTCAAAAAATTAGACACGTGCTCAAGAGTTCTTGCCAAAAGGCACTAGGAGAGAAAAGAATTAATCTAGTTAATTTAAGTATAATGTTAAATATATATAGAGAGAGAAAATAGAATCATGAGGATATATNTATATATATGTTAGAAACAATTATTTCGTCAAAAAACATTTCAACAACAAACATTTCATAAATATTCATTAAAGAACATATAAAGATCAATGTATTTTAATTGACTTTATTGATTCGTAAAAAATTTGATATTGATATACAATATTGACTCATTATAAAAAATTGTAAATATATCAAAAAAATAAAATAATTGTGTGAAATACTTACGATTGAAGATTGAAGGTGGGTGGGAATGGAGGCTGCTTTCGTTATAAAACGAGCTCTGAAACAAATCGAAAAATTACGATCAGCGTGTTAGAATCCAATAAATTCTATAATTTTGTTTTTCGTTGAGGCAAATCGCTATTATTTCTTTTATTACTTTTTTTTGTATTTTATTCTTCTACCGATCGGAGGAAATAATGTATTGAAAGCTCGCCGATAGCTTTTACGCCTCGGCGAGAAACGGCATTATGCATACTACGTTATACAATTGGGCACCAGGAAATCGAGTTATCGAATTTCCGTTTCGTAATTGTCCAATATTCCGGTCACCTAGATTTTTGTCGATCAATGTTGCAATTTTGGTTTGGATTTTTTTAAATCTTCAGTCTTAAGAGCAATTCGATCGATCAAAATATTTTTTTTTCTTTTTTGCAAAAGCAAGATATTTGAGAAGAGAGTACAAAGAGTTACTCTTATTATTTGATTTACCAGAAGAAAAACTTTATTAACTAATAATTTTGAGATTAATAATGGCAAAAATAACCTGGAAGTTCAATTAGCAACTAATTCTAATTTGTTTCCCATCTTATTAATCTTTCAATTAATTAAGGTTTTTAGTTGAGATAATAAAGTCAATGTCACAAGCGGGATTCGAACCCACGATCTTCGGCTAAATACGCCGCTGCTCTGCCACTTGAGCTATCGTGACTTCGATCCACTCGGACACTAACTTCCCATCTCAACTTCAACTTCTGAATTTTCCCTCCTTTTTGCCATTTTTCATGCTTAATGCTTAATGATTATTTGGAGATCGTAAGATGCAGTCTTGTATGATGTAGGTTTGGAAAATCATTTTCTTTATTGTGCCAACGTTTCGATCTTTATTTAGATCATCTTCAGGGCTCAAAGTGCGTCTTGAACACTCGCAACACCGTGACACATCTACACAGAAAACATACCGAAATCTCAAGATTTCCAAATAATCATTAATTAACGGTCACTAAATACTACACTCTAATGCTTAATGATTCACAGAAACTAGATTGGACGATCTATGTTTATGAAAATTATATTTTTATATGATATACATTATTTTTTGATCAAATTACCAAATCTTTATAGATTAGATTTGTTTATTTTATTTTCATTATAGTTTTAGTCAAATACACACAAGGAAGTTATTACCGTTAAAGAAGACTGCTGTTGAAGAATTCGAGAAATCAGTTTAACCCGAAACAGTCGACTGGAATAAACCTATTTCTGTTATTCATGTCGGGTTTGTATTCCATATAATTTGCACACAGTGGCCTGCAAAAAGTGGAAACTGTGCTAAGGCCCTCGGGACTCGTTACACCGGCCACAGACAGTTGAAGTAATGATGTCTGGATATAAAAAGAAAAACTCGAAGTTTAAGCCAAATATATTTGCACATTTTCGTCCTGATAGTTTTTTTTTTTTTTTTTTTTTTTTTTTTTTTTTTTTTTTTTTTTTTTTTTTTTTTTTTTTTTTTTTTGCCGGCTAACTACTAGGGGTCCTTGCCGGCACCTCACGTATATAAGCTTCTCGCATTTTTCTTTGTTTCATTTCAACTTTATCTCTATCTCATTCACTATATCTCTTCTTTTAATTTTGTTTCCTACCGATCAAACAGAGGTGTGTCTTGTTGCTCTTTCCTACCATCCCACACGTGGTTTGTTATAAATACTTCAATATTTACAGACTCACTAAAAATACACACTCTCGCTAAGAAAATTATTACCTAATCAACAGTTGGCAGGGCTCAGGTTGGCACGACTGAGGTCCTGCCCCTACCACTAAATAAAAAGTCGATAGGATAGTCATAATCCTACCAACCTTCTTCCATTCGTGCTAATAAATACATTCATACAGTATGTACAGAATTTCATTCATCCATTAGACTAATTTCCTTTTGACGGGTTTGTGGAGTACTCGATATTCCTCGACAACCACGTCCATTTACACAAAACATTCACGCTAATAAATACATTCATATTGGAGAGGTCGCAGCATCTCGGTAGTATTACTACAATCTTGATAGCTGTGACCTGTCCCTCACATCACACAACAAATGTATAATTACCTAAACTAATTTGGCGGGCCTGTGAGTTACTCGATATTCAGTCACAGCCACACCCAGACATACCTCATCTCCCACGCTAATAAATACATTCACACTGCAAAATAGAGATATACCACGTGTGGTTGGTTGATGATGGCGTGTGGTCGTGATAGTTGCTATAAAATTCGTAAGAGTTTTATTTTTTATGAAGTTTGTGAACCTTTACAGTTCTTGATGGAAGATTTCATTAGAAAGACTTAACTCCTAAGAAAGAAAGCTTGCGTTACGATTTGTTTTATCCTGAACACGCCTTGCATTTATAATTGATATTTTCTTAAGGTCGTTCATTCATCAATCATGCCCAATACGGTTTTATGATAAACTAGAAGGATTTCGATAAAGAGGTTTCTTTTCTTCGCCCAATTAGACAGGAACGTCAATCGACCCGTCGATAAGGAATCGATTAATATTGACCTTTGGTTGGATATATCTATCGTTATGTTCCCATGCACAAAAACAGGCCGCTAATCGCAACAGGGGAAAATAAATTTTCAAGAGATATATCAGAAGGCGTTGAGGGAAATACGGCCGAGATTGCCGGTTGGGTTTGATCGATCCGGCTTCTTCGAAAGGCGTGCTACCCCATTTACGAGAATTAATCAAACGGTAAAGGCGTACAAAAACACTATTGACATGATAATTCGCGTCGAGTCACCCAGGAACAGAAGAGTCTTCAAAATCATTCCTCCTTATCTCCCCCCACGCTCGTGAAGCCTTCCCGACCCAGATCAACACGTAAGTGTTATTTTTCTCCTATTATAAATATTTATGAGGTATTACTGCATAAAAATTAGAAGCGGCTTGGAGGGCCGTCTTAAACCCGGCTGTAATTATTGACCAGGAGATGGCGTGCGGCCCCAATAATCATACGTATCTTACATGGAATTACAGTTTTCTGCTCCGGGCGGTTCGAACAGTAATTTGTGACATTCTTGACGGCCAGTAATACGTCCAATTCACACGACCGTTTTGGGAAAATTGGATGGCCAAATGATATAATCAAGAGACATGTTCATCAAGCTTACCACTTTTTGTCTTTTCCTGGCAAGTTTCACATTCAAGTTTTCCTGTATATAGCAGCAAAAATAATATTTTTTTTAAATCTTTGACATCGAAACTATCAAAATAAAAAATCGAAGAGAGTAACAACAAGCATGTTACTATGATACGCATCTAGTAAACTATCGTCGTTAAAATAACAATCATCACCATTGTTCAATCATCACTACCGCATATTTAAGTAGACTACAGGGGAAAAACGCGCCCATTTTTCGAAATATTTTATGAAAATAAAAAACTCGAAAAAAGCGATATATAGTATTTTCCCACTTTCGTATATGATCAATCGGCAATATACTGCAAATATTAAAAAACACAATATCATTAAAAGTTAAACACTTTTATTAAATCATTTGAATATATTGAGTAAATTTTTGTAGAAATTTCCTGTTTTCTTTAGCGAAATTTCCCCAACTTCTGCATGTCCTTTTACTTTTTTTCTATTGTCAGCAGATAAAATATATATATATATTATAAGTTTCCTTATAAAAAAGAACCTTAGGAGACCTTCCGATACCATAAGCTCTATGAATGGCGAACATGCGAACATTTTTTATGTACCTTGTTTATCTCAGTTTTATCCTGCACCTTTTTATTTTCTCATTCTAATCTATAGGTTCGACACTCCTTTCTTGGTTAATGATCCAATTGGTTCAATCACCACTACCGCATATTTAAGTAGACTACATGGGAAAACGCGCCCATTTTTCGAAATATTTTATGAAAATAAAAAACTCGAAAAAAGCGATATATAGTATTTTCCCACTTTCGTATATGATCAATCGGCAATATACTGCAAATATTAAAAAACACAATATCATTAAACGTTAAACACTTTTATTAAATCATTTGAATATATTGAGTAAGTTTTTGTAGAAATTTCCTGTTTTTTTTTTTTAAGCAAAATTTGCCCAACTTCTGCATGTCCTTTTACTTTTTTATATTTGCGTGGTGATTAGTGACCGTTAATCGATAATTATTCAGAAACCGTGAGATTCGGTCCAGACCGATCTTACGATTTCCGAATAATTTTTTTATATTATCGGCAAATTATATATACTGTTCACATTCTTTCTGAAAAATCAAATTCGCTGCTATTGAGAGTTTGTCTGAGACTATTTTTGTCTTCTTCTGTGTAATGCTGATGGAACACAAGCCCGATTATAAGTTTCCTTATAAAAAAGAACTTTAAGAGATCTTCCGATACCATAAGCTCTATGAATGGCGATCATGCGAACTTTTTTTATTCACCTTGTTTATCTCAGTGTTATCCTTTTTATTTTCTCATCCTAATCTATAGGTTCAACACTCCTTTCTTCGTTAATGATTCTATTGGTTCAATCACCANTTATATATACTGTTCACATTCTTTCTGAAAAATCAAATTCGCTGATGTTCAGAGTTTGTCTGAGACTATTTTTGTCTTCGTCTGTGTACTGTTGATGGAACACAAGCCCTATTATAAGTTTCCTTATAAAAATGAATTTTAGGAGATGTTCCGATACCATAAGCTCTATGAATGGGGATAATGCGAACTTTTTTTATGCACCTTTTTATCTCAGTTTTATCCTGCACTTTTTTATTTTTTCATTCTAATCTATAGGTTCAACACTCCTTTCTCGGTTAATGATTCCCATACCTTTTTTGAATTCTAGATACAAGAGGCCACGGATAGGAAATGTGACATTTTAGATCGAATAGCATTCCTAATCCCTATATTAGGGACTTCACCCGGTTTTACCATGAACGGTGTGGCTTAACCCGTTTTTTATTATGGTAAGACGTTTTGAAAGTAAACACGCATCAATAAGAAGAAAATTATGTCGGTAAAAACGAAATATCACAAAGAATTGTATGTA